ATGTCTTTAAAATGTTCCCTAAGTTCCAACAGTTGTAAGATATTCGATCTGATGAATAAGAAAAGGAAAATAGAGATTTTAATGCATTTTATTCCTAAAAGAAGTTCCTTCTTTCAATTGTGACCGTCTCTTCAAGTACTACTATTATTGACAAAAAGGACAATGTGACTATATTTGATCTCATGATAAATGAGAAGAACTAACAATGAAATTCATTGTAGATGGTGTATTTTCGAAACAAAGAATGTAGGTAAAGTGACATACTGATGATATGAAAACATTTACTAATTAAGTATGACAAAATGAGGATATTAATTTTAACATGATCAAAATGTAAGACACTATAAATGAGCAAAATCAACTCCTAATTTCCAGTTAGTAGGAAGATTCCTTGAAAGATATTTCAAGGGTTTGGCGACTTCTTAAAATACCCAAGTTATAATATATTAGGGGAAGAAGTACTTTCTCCTTACCTCCTACAACTCAAAGTTACTTTTCAGTATACTTCATATTTTCTATTTTTTAAGAAATTAAAGTTCCTTTTATTATAAAGTTTCTACAGAAGAGAATCAAGTATAAATTGTGTTCTCTGCTTTTTGATTGTTATGACATTTTCAATTCGAATAATTTCACAAGCAAGTTGCCAAAGATATTTACACAAATGGATCTGTGATTGTGATTTATGTGAAATGCATTTGCACTATTTATTTAATGAGACATTTACCGAGTCTTCTTCATAGTAGTATTTGATTTCAGTAATGTGAACACAATATTAAGGAATATGATAAGTTTATACTGTTACCAATTAAGGTTTGCTTAATTTTGCTTCAGGTTCTTTGTCAAAATCTTAGCCTGTGACAGCAATGCAGGGAGGACTTTTGAATGGATGGATTTTTCTTTGCATCAACTATTGAAGATTTATTTAGTTTTCACGTTCCTCTTTATTTAACTGGAACTACAGTGATTACAAAATTCCTTTTTTATATGTTGTTATGTATTATGTAATGATAATTAAAATGTTTTTGATACAAGTGTAGATGAATAATGACACGGTAGACAAATCAAAATTCAAAAGTCATTTTTTCTGCATTGAAAATTAAAAAAAGTTCAAAAATACACTAATATACGTGTTGGGCCCGTGCTGGCACGGGCCATGCCCATCTAGTTTATAGAACAGAGATAGTATATCGTCAATCACTTCAAAAAGTTATTTGATCATCATATTCTATAATTAAGAAATGACTTGTTATTCTCTAACTGAGATAAGTCACATCAATTACTTCAAAAACTATTTGATCTTTTGGTCATAGATTTCCCAAGTAATATTTAGGGGAAAATTTGGCAAATAGTGTTTGTTCATACAATTTGTCATTATTTAACAAATATTTTTGACAAATATCCCAAATTTCCAAATACAAGTTTTTTCTAGTATTTGAGCCAAATCTTATTATTTGAAATCTTTTAAAAATTAAAATTTTACACCAAACTTTTATGTTTTACTAAAACACCCTCTATAGTAGTTGTTTGTATTGTATTACATAATTTTTTATGTGAACACCAAAGTAGTGATGAAATATTCAGTGAATATGAAAGTGATGATATGATTGTTGATGAAAATGATGAACAATTGACTCAGGGTAACAAAGTCATGTGTTTTGTTTACTTCATGATGTATGGAATGATGCTTGTTGCACTCACTCCAAACTACCACATTGCTCCTGTGTCATGGACACTACTTGTTATTTGTTGCAACGAAGATTCAATTGACTTGTAATACAAACTTATGGTTAGTTTTGATAGTTTTTAAAATTTACGGGTATAAATCATATTTTTCTAAGAAAATGAAATATGTTTCCTAAATATTATGACCAAACACATGGTGAAATTTCACCCAAATTTTCATCCGAATAATATTTGCCAAAAATATTTGGAAATCTATGGCGAAACGCTAGCTTAGTAAATTATGAAAGCATTTGGAGACTCATTCTTCATTGTGTCAAGTTTGGTAAGCTTCAAGTAATTAATGAAACTCACTTTTTTTTTTTTTAGTTTGGTGAGTCATAAATGTTATGCTGTGTCGCTATATAAAAAAAAAGTATTTCCTAGTCTTTTAAGGGGTCATTTTGGTTGGACGCAAATACAAATTCATAATTCGAACATAGCAGAAGTATCACTAAAAATAGGTACACGTTAGTTGAAGCAATGTCACATAATACTACCTTATTTTAAATTTTTACTATACATTTACAGAATTAATATTTTTGTGCACATATATAAAAGATCCTGGTGTTGTTGCCCGTAAGGTGTTTGTTTAAGTGTCCGAATGAATTCTTTACCTTTGTGGAGGATGTTTCATTGTATTCAAAATGGTTGCCTGTAAGGTGTTTGTTTAAGTGTCTAAATGAATTCTTTAGCTTTGTGAAGGATATTTCACTGTCATGTTGATTCACTCTGACTATGACATTGCACTTTCTAATTGAGAATGTCTATCATTGAGATGTTTCTGGTTAACTAAAACTTCAAGTGGTAATGATCACCCCGGGGGTACGCGCTAGCGCCTTTGACATGCACTTTCATTGTCTGATATCTGAAATGGAACCTTGATCTATGGCTAAACCTCAACATGATCACCATGTTGAACATAAGCATAATAGATTCTTGATCATTTAACACTCTCTCTCTATATATGTATATGTTTAAGGTTTGGGTAGAACATATATTTAATATACTGTTTTGGAGTTGGTAGGAGGGCTTATCATGTTACACAATATCATACATGATTAACTCAATAAAGGAAATATTTTTCTGACTTTATAACATTTTGTTGTGAATCAGAAATTAATTACACCTTAACCTGCATATTAATATGGAGCTTCCTCAATATTATCACCAAATAGTAGTTTCATAAATTGATTCACATGTTAATAGATGGCAGTATCAATAATATTGTGTAATATCTATAGGTTTTGCTGTTCTGCTGATTCAAGTGATGATAAAACTTATTCATTTCATTGATAAATAAGCTGGTCGTTTGTCGATTCAGGGGACTACTTAACAGATTTGTATATTTAAAGCCGTTCTACTTTTGTAGGTTTAGTGCATCAGATTTTTTGAAGAGATTGAAAGGAAAGAGGCTGATGCTGGTTGGAGACTCAGTGAACCAAAACCAGTTTGAATCTCTCCTGTTACATAATATAACCCAAACCACCCTTGGGGAGAAAAATTAGAACAGTCGTATATCTGAACCTGGATTCCCATTTAACTACATTTTTTCAGAGTTTCAAATGAGATGACAAATATTTGGACAACTTCTTTGAGTTCCACAAGAGATTTATAGCTATCTGATAAGAAGATGCAGCAAGGTACAACTTTTGTAATGAATGAGAGGCAAAGGTTGGCTGAACTACTGAGAAATTGTTCCAAGATTTTGTCTTTAGATGTGGGAAAGCAAGTTCATGGAGCTGTATTAAGGATGGGTTATGCATTTGATTTGATGATATGCAATGATCTCATTGATATGTACGGGAAGTGCAGTAGAGTGGAACTGGCTCGCTCAGTGTTTCACAAAATGCCTGAAAGAAATGTGGTTTCTTGGACGGCTTTAATGTGTGGATATTTAAAACACGCTAATGCTCAACAATCCTTGTTGCTTCTCTCTCGGATGCTCTTCTCAAATGTAAGACCCAATGAATACACTTTTTCCACCAACTTAAAGGCATGTGGTATTCTTGGTGTTCTGGAAAATGGACAACAGATTCATGGTTTGTGTGCTAAAAGTGGGTTTGAAAAGTATCCAGTTGCAGGTAATTCAATTATCGATATGTACTCAAGATGTGGGAAACTTGGTGAGGCTGAAAACAAGTTCCATGAAATGCCAGAAAAGAGTCTCATAACTTGGAATGTAATGATAGCAGGGTATGCAATGGGAGGATTTGGTGATAAATCTTTGTATCTGTTCAAACAAATGCAACAACAAGGAGAAATGCCAGACGAGTTTACGTTTGCAAGCACGTTGAAGGCTTGCAGTGGTTTTAAGGCGGTGCGTGAAGGAAGCCAAATTCATGGTTTTCTTATTACTAGAGGATTCCTTATTTCCAGCCAAAAAGTTATTGCAGGCGCCCTAATTGATTTGTATGTCAAATCAGGAAACTTGTTTGAAGCTCATAAGGTGTTTAGTCAAGTTGAACAGAAAAGTGTGATATCATGGACGACACTGACCGTAGGGTATGCTCAAGAAGGCAAACTAACAGAGGCAATGAACTTGTTCAAGCAGCTCAGGGAAAGTAGCATCACATTGGATGGGTTTGTGCTGTCAAGCATGATGGGTATCTTTGCTGATTTTGCTCTAATTGAGCTTGGGAAACAATTGCATTGTTGTGCAGTAAAAATACCTTCTGGGTTAGACATATCTGTATTGAATTCAATCATGGATATGTATCTAAAATGTGGGTTAATAGAGGAAGCCGAAACACTTTTTGATGTTATGCCAGAAAAAAATGTGATTTCATGGACCGTTATGATCACCGGGTATGGGAAGTATGGTCTTGGTGGAGAAGCAGTTGAACTATTCAAGAAAATGCATATGGATAGGATTGAGCCTGATGAGGTTTCCTACTTAGCTCTGCTCACAGCTTGTAGTCATTCGGGGTTAGTTCAAGAAAGTGAAGAATACTTTTCAAAACTATGCAATTCAAATTGTTTAAAACCCTCAGTAGAGCATTATGCTTGCATGGTTGATATCCTAGGTCGAGCTGGACGCCTAAGAGAAGCTAAGGTTGTGATAGAGAACATGCCAGTAAAACCAAATGTTGGTATTTGGCAGACACTGCTTGGTGCATGTAGAGTACACAAGAATGTAGAAATAGGAAGAGAAGTTGGGGAGATTCTCTTAAAATTAGATGGCAATAATCCGGTGAATTATGTTATGATGTCAAACATTTTCGCTGATGCCCGCCTATGGGAAGAATGTGAGGGATTAAGAGGACTGGTGAAAACAAAAGGTTTAAGAAAAGAAGCAGGACAAAGTTGGGTGGAGATCGACAAGAAGATGCACTTTTTCTACAACAGAGATGAGACACATCCACTTACTAAAGCTATCCATGAATTTTTGTATAAGATGGAGAAGAAAATGAAATATGAACTCGGTTACACACGGGAAGTAAGCTTTTCATTACACGATGTTGAAGATGAAACAAGGGATGAGAGCCTGAGATTTCACAGCGAGAAATTGGCAATTGGTTTGGCACTTCTTTCTGGTGCCGATGAAATTGAGGGGAAGCCAATTCGTGTTTTCAAGAATTTGAGAGTTTGTGGAGATTGTCATGAGTACATCAAGGGTTTGTCAAAGATTTTGAAGAAAATATTTCTTGTTAGAGATGCCAATAGGTTCCATAAGTTTGAGAACGGAACATGTTCCTGCAGAGACTATTGGTGATGGCATATTTTAAGTGACACAACTAAGGAGAGAGAATTTGTGAAGGGCTTTCCGAAGCCTATCTAAGCAGGAAATGCTGCCAGAGCTCGAAGAGGTAATCTCCAACTTATAAATGAAAATACTAACATGAGAGTTCTTATCTTATGAAAGTGTATGTTGTATCATTGAAGGAAACAAGCAACATTGATCATTTAGCCTTCCCCACATTCTATATTCATTCTAATAAGGAAAAATGGTATTCTACAAATCTGTCAAACGTTGTTTAAGTTTACTTGTATTTAAACAGAGGCAGAGATTGAGATTCAGGTGGAAGTTGTAGTAAAGAGAGTAAACCTGTTTTGAGAGGAGCTATCCTTTGAAAATGAAGATTGTGGAGGAGGTGATTAAGGAAAGGCAGCTGCCAGTGTATGAGAAGATCGGTAGAAGGGTGAAGCAAGATTGTGGCCATTGGTGTCTACCCGGAGTCCCCGATGAATAGAATGAGCTAATCTGTGCCACCTTTTGTTTTTTTTTAACTCTCCCTAGGAGCTTCCATCTGTTTTTCTTCCGGTGACTCGAACTCACAACCTTATGATTTGAAGTGAGCTGTGACACAAAACTCAGGGTAAAATAATTATATGATTTTTA